TGTCGGAGTCTGGCAGCCACTCTAACAGCTCCAGCTGAGCCCTAACACCCTGCCCAGGGTCCTCCACCCTCTCCAAGGCCGACCCACCAGCCCCCGTACTGTCGGAGTCTGGCAGCCACTCTAACAGCTCCAGCCGAGCCCTAACACCCTGCCCAGGGTCCTCCACCCTCTCCAAGGCTGACCCACCAGCCCCCGTACTGTTGGAGTCTGGTGGCAGCTCTACCAACTCCTGCCGGGCCACCACAGTATCCCCCAACGGAGAGCCCATCCCCTGGTTCCGCCACTCGAAATGCGGCCCAGAAGGGTTGGTGGCAGCCCCCACGGAACACAGTCCCAGACACTGATACCCCGCTGGTATCCTAGAAACAAAGTCCATTGCTGCGGGGACCGGGGTTGACAAAGGCTGGAGTCTTGGCCAAGCCCTCCTCGCAGACCTGGCCCATTGGCACTGGACACATGACTCCACACACCTCCGAACGTCATTTCTCGAATGGGGCTGCCAAAATTGCCGGGAGGCCAGGCGCAATGTTCGGAAACCCCACCAATGTCTTGATGCAGAAGCGCCATGAACCTGCGAAAGCACCCGTCTACGGATGTGCCCTGCAGGAACTAAAGATCCACAAGAAACACCTGCGTAAACAACTGTGATTCTTGCCTCTTATCATGTCTTAACGTTGAATAAGAGCGTTCTCTCTAAGTAGCTCCAGCAGTAAAGTTTGGTAACATTGTTTCAAAGTCCAATGGTGGCAGTGTTAGATTGTATCTGATCCCTAGCCCCTTAGCACTCTGCCTTTGAAAAGAAATACTCCAAACAAAACACCATGGGACTAATGAAATAGAACAAAAGAGAAAAAGGAAAAGAGTTTTTAAGGCATAATAATAGTCCCAATCAAATCACTGCCAGATGTCAAAAAAGCTTCAGCAACGAATCCACATTAAGTTGAAACAAGTTATAACAAGAATCCAGTCTGGCTTCCGGTAATAAAAAGGGGAAAAAAACCCGGACGGTTTCAATTAGCCATGCTCAAACCCACCAATAGTTCTCTGGTTATACTCTATTTTCCTTAAATCTCCAAGTTTAGGGTGTTCTCTTTACAATAAAAAAAACTTTATAAAAGGTCTCACCAAAAACGGCATGCTTCATTCTCTCTCCTGCTCTTGCTTTGTGGAGCTGTCAGCAGCTTTGGCAGTCTAGGGGCTGGCTCTTGATCGCCGGCAAAAGGGGATTTCCCCTGGATCTCCAGAGACTTTGCGGGTGTCTCTGGGTTCACAGGGCTTTCCCCTACCTCTCACCGTCTCTTCGGGACGGCTTGGGTCTGATTCCGACCATCCAGGCAACCCAGATTCAACAGCTAATCTGGAGTAACCAGAAAAGCCGCGGTACCACAGCAACGCGTAGCCCCTCCTTCTTAAATCCACTTTTCTCTACCCCTCCCACGGCAGGGCAGGACTTTATTTTTTTCCCCCTTCCCTCGGACTGGTGGTGACGGTGAGCCACTTGGCCCAAGGAGCGGCAGTCGACTCGCTTCTTCTCTTCAGCGAGGAGGGAAAGACATGAAGGGGCTGCTGAATGGCTGCTGCTGTGCTCGACCAGGAACAGCCCATTGGACGAGGAAGGGTGGGGATCCCTTCCATTTGGATTAATGGTTCCTTGTGGCAGCGCCTGAGGGGCAAAAGGGAAGCATAAGGGAAACAAGGCTGCCATGTCACACATGGAAAGTGCAATAACAGTGTTTTCAGGCGGCAGCACATTGATCTCAGCTGCCTGGAACCATCTGAGAAGGGACAGGTGAAGCGGGTGCTGTGTGAGAGGTGTAAGGCAAGGTGGCTTGCTGGTCGGCCTCCCCCTTCTCCAGACAACCCAATTAGAGGGCAATCAGTTTCTGCTCCTGGCCCGGGAGATGGATCTGGCCAGGAGGAATACAAGCCCCATTTTTGCAATCGGGGAGGAAAAGAGCGTTTCAGGCGGCGGGTGGTTCCAGGCTGCAGGGATCGCCCGGCATCTGAAATGCTCTTTTTCCTCCCTGATTGCAAAAATGGGGTTTGTATTCCTCCTGGCCAGATCGATCTTCGAGGCCAGGAGCAGAAGCCGACTACTGGGTTGTCTGGAGAAGCGGGAGTCTGAGCAGCAAGCCACCTTGTCTTACACCTCACCTCCTGTGCAGTGCCAACTTCACCTCCCCCTTCTCCAGATGACCCAAGCGGCTACATTCAGAGTATAAGACACACCCAGATTTTCACCCTCTCTTTGGGGGGAAAAGGTGCATCTTATACTCCAAAAAATACTGTGCACTGTTTTGTCTCCACCTGTAATAAGACCCAGTACAGTGGTATCATCTGCAAACTTAATGATCACAGTGGATGGGTCAGATGACCTACAATCATGTGTGTACAGTGAATACAGGTAGGGACTGAGCACACAGCCCTGTGGGGAGCCAGTGCTAAGCTTCAGGAAGGTGGATATGACAGATC